ATCTTTTCAGAATGGCATAAGTAGCTTTGGAAAGATGTTAGAATTTTTGTAAAGTCAAATCTTTTATAAATTAGAAGTACATGATAGCCAGAAATTAAGATCCCTTCCAATAAAGATAGAGCCTCAAAACCAAAGTTGGAGTAGAAATTCAATAGAGAAAACAGACCCTTCCATAGCCAATAGAATCCACCTCTCCAGGCTGTTAATGCTGTGGATAACTCCTCTTTGCAGGAACATCTCTTAGACTGAAAGCATGATGTTATAGCACCCAGCTCTTCTGAGATATTTGTGTTAAATATCTTATGATAACAGTTACTGATTCTTGTGATTATAAAAATGCTTATAGACATTTAGGAAATTGCTAAGGATAAAGAAGGAAAACCACTATTAATTAACTGATGAGACCTCTTTATTTTTCCTGACTTCTTTCTGTTACCAAACATGGTAAAGGCTAGAAAAGTTTTTTTAAAAAAATTAGCATAGCGATTCTCATTATCTTTTACCACATGGAGGGAAGGGGGGTGCTGCAAGCACACGTCCCCACCCTTACTTACGTTCCTTTAAGCATTACCCTTTTCTAAATGGACAGTCTGAAAGTAATCTTGTTGATATGCCTCTTTAAGCCTGAACTGTGGACATAAGATATTACCCAGAAGCTATAGAGAGCTGCCTTGCCCAGGTTATTGGGAATTTTGTCCGTAAGACTCATTTGAATGTTTAAGCCCTTTATGCACTGTTATGGGCTTATGGGGCTTATTCATACCAGGAGGAGCTTTTTGTTTATGATTGACTTTTTTATATGGCCCTAATTAAACTCACAAAGAAAAGCAGAGAAAAGCAAAGCGAAAGAAAAACATAAAATGACCATGCAGAGTCCATGAAACACGATACCATGCTGAAGCATACGTCTCTCAAAAACATTGTGTCTCTCTGCACATCAGCTAAGACTCAGAAGTTTTACACCTAAATAATATTTCAAATGAGACTCCTTAATGCATGGAAGAGAAAACTGCAGCTTTGTTTGGTTCTACTCTTTATGCCCCCTCTTCTGTGGCAGTGTGGGGTTAGGACTGTGTCCTAAAGTCCCTAAGTCTTTCCTAAATAGAAATCATGAGGGAACTCTGGACAGCTGGCACAAGCCAGTGGCGCTTCCACACAGAAGTGTGTTTTAGATGTGGGATCCCTTCCAACATTAACTGTTCAAGTCTGTGCTGGGTTCCGTGGTGTTCTGCAATCTTCCCCACTCCCCCGTGGTCCCCTCTGGTTTGTCTTACTTTCATCCAATCTGTATGGACTTTTAGGATTTTTTTTTCTTTAGTACAAATAATTTTCCTATCCCAGTTTTGGTAAATGTGGTAACACTACCTTGTGAATAAATAAATGAGTGATCTGCTGAACAATCGCAGTTGTAGAATTATGTTGTATGTAATGTACATATGGAGAAAGAATGTATTTTGTTCATTTTCTTAATAAAAAGTTATATATGGACAGTATGTGTCTCTTCTGTTCGCTGAAACTATTTTTGAAGTCACCTTTTAAGATATTTGCATACTTCACAGTTGCTATGTTTTTTCCTCAGGTGAATTTTATGGGCAGCGCCTGTGGCTCAAAGGAGTAGGGCACCGGCCCCATATACTGGAGGTGGCAGGTTCAAACCCAGCCCCAGCCAAAAACTGCAAAAAAAAAAAAAAAAAATTAAGAAAGGTGAATTTTATTCAGGTGTCAAGGGGCCTTTGAGTCAGTTCTCGAAGTACTGGTCAAGCTTAACAAAGTCTCTGGGGGAAGTTTCCATTTTAAAAGAATACTGCTAATTTATTTCATGAAATGATGTTTTTCTAGCTCCTGCTTATTTTATCTGTGTAAATTTGGGCTTGTGTTTTTCAAGATTTCTTTAACAAGCACATGCTTCTGTAAGCTAGGAACTAGAAGAAAAAAAATTGAACTGTAATAGTAATTAATTGTAGAAAAGATAGTAAAGGAAAAGAATGCAAAGGTGTTGCAAAGTTTGGAAAAGTCTGGGTCCCCCTCCCCAGTGAGGGAAAAGAAACTTTAAGGGCCAAACCTTGGGAAAAAACTGAGAAGTACACCAGATAACGGTACTAAATTGTCAGGGCTGAGTTGTGTGAGCTCTCCAGACCTATTGTCAATGATAGGTCTTCATCATCTGTATTTTCGTGGCTTTATGGTCCTGCATTCTGGAGTGGGCAACTCATTTCATTCAAAATAGGGATTGTTCTCTCAATTTACAAATCAGATAATACAATCCATACCCTAACTGCAGGGCTTTCATCTCTAGGGTGTGCTTTAAGCGTGGCTCAAAAGTAGCCTTCCTTTGTGTTCTCATAACAGGAAAGCATGAGGTGCAGTGATAAGGGAAGGAATTGGCCTTTCCTTGGTAAATCCTCCAGAGAATTAAATCAAAAGGATCAAAATGTGGGACACCACCGCTGATGGTATTTGTCGCTGTCTTCTGGCAGTAGGACAGCAATAAGCAAAGATGGCTAAATACAGATGAGATGACAGCTGTCCCAGGCCAGTGAGTGGAGACCTAGAGATTGGAAAATGGCTACTTTAAGGGCCTCTAGTTGTACAAGGAAGAACATCAAGCATCTATGAGTGATGCCCATACTTTAACGTCTTTTAAATGACAACCACAAAGTTCAGAGAAATTGAAAAAAACAATCCTGTTAATGAAGGCAAGATCCTTTATCACTGTTTAGATTTTTAAGGTATGACTGGGAAGACCAAATTTTGATGGCTCTTGTGGTGTTAAGTTTAGATACAGATTGATAACGTTTCTCCTTAACACTGGGGTGTTGTCCCAGGTCTTTCGTTGTCTTCTACATGTCTTGGAAGGAGAAAAAGAAGAGGATAGTGAAGCGTGGGGCTTTCTGTGGCATAGGGAGGGTGGGACAGAAGAGTTGGCTTACTGTCCTTTCTCTATAGCTTCACTGTGTCATCCACTGGGGACTTTCCTCCTGTGGGTTCTCACCCAGGAAAAGCAAAATAGTCAGTTACATGCGTATCCTTGCCAGAGATAGTCTTAAGGAAAAGAAGATTAACAAAAAGACCCACATCCAACAATAATTTCCTCCTTTCACTAGGCAGGGGCAGCGCCTGTGGCTCAAAGGAGTAGGGCGCTGGCCCCATATGCCAGAGGTAGTGGGTTCAAACCCAGCCCCGGCCAAAAACTGCAAAAAAATAAATAAATAAAAACTAGGCAAAAGAAGCCCATCCAGTGCTATGCTAGTAAGTTTCGATGGTTGGAAAACTCTTAAGTTAGAAGACCAGGTTCTTGGCAATGCCCATAGCATGCATTATACAGCTGCCCTCTGAATGTGGGCCATAGTATGGGTACTCCAGGAGGGGTGAGGAATCCTGGCTCCAGAAGACTAATGACTTCTGTCTAGTGTTAAGCCATCTTAACTTTCCTGCCTCACTTTCTCTAATGGCAGCAGATCCTAGGTTTTCTAGAATGCCAAGGGCTTTGAAGAAACATTATCTCAGTATTTGTTACTAGTGTTAATTACAGTGGCCGGTCCTGTTTTTTCCCTTGGAGTACAGAGGAAGTAAGTGGTTTGGAAGGGAGCTTATAGAATGGGGATATTGGAGTGACAGAAGCACAACAAACGTAAAGAGTCACTCCTCTTGGTGGACAGGACAGGGAGCAGGGTCAATGACCCACTCAGGAAGTGAATGGAGTCTTGGGTCTAATATGTGGCCAGTGATAAACTATGAGTCAGTCTCCTAGAACAGTGTGCCTTGAATACAACCAGGCTCCTATGTGAGTTCCTGGTACTTGGACTTCTCTCTGTATCCTTGGCACACTCTTAAAGTTAACCTCAAAACACCCCTGGCCCAACTCTGGCCTTCCCTTCAGGGTGTAACCACCTTTCAGAACTCCCTTAATGAAAGGAAAATCATATTGTAATAGTAGTTGCATTCTAGAAAAGCATTTTTTTGGTTGGAACTTAAGCATTAATGTGTTAAGAATGTACGACTGAAGAGTGAAATGATGGAATCAAGGTCTGGTGCTGCCATTTATTTTTATTTATTCTTGGAGACCATCTCACTCTGTTACCCTGGGTTGAGTGCCATGGCATCATCATAGCTCACAGCAACCCCAAACTCTTGGGTTCAAGTGATCCTCTTGCCTCAGCCTCCAAGTAGGTGGGACTATAAGCACCTGACAAAACATGTGGCTAGTTTTTCTATTTTTAGTAGAGACAGGGTCTCACTCTTGCTTACGCTTATCTCCAACTCCTATGCTTAAGGGATCCTCCCGCCTCAGCCTCCGAAGTGCTAGGATTACAGGCGTGAGCCTTTGCACCTGACTTCCCTGTGTAGAGTGGTGACAGTTCCTGGTGAGACAGATGAAAATGGTTGGTAAACCATGAGATACTAGGCAAATAAAAGAGATTTTTGTCTAACAAATAAGTGAATACCTGACCGTTTCCCTTCTGCGAGTTGGTAGTGATGACACAGTACCAGGCTTGGAGACGAAGAGAATCTGAACCATCTCTGAGAACCCCTTCTCTTAGCCTCCTTCATGTCCACTGCATGCCTGGAGGAAGGACAGGCATAAAATTCTTGTGGACAGAAACGGGGCCAGTCAAAAACAGATCTTCTATGATTTTTATGTATTTGTTTTGTCTCTTCCTAGTGTTTTCATACCTGATCAGGGGTCATCAGGTAGTTGTTCACAAAGGAATCTGAGGCAGAGATAGAGGGAAGTAAAACATTAATGAAATGTCTTGTGGGGAAATGAGGTTCTTTTAGACACAGTGACCAGGATAGACTGAGATAATGTAGAGAACTGTCACCATCTGTAGGATCCCTCCTTTCCTGTGACATTCCCCCTTCATTCTCCTACTGGGCCTGCAGAGTTCAGGTGTAACTAAGGGCAGAGATTGCTGTGCTCTCAGGTGTGAGCTGATGGCCACAGTCAGTGCACACTTATAAGAATTTAAGTCAAAGAAAAATACTAGCGTGTGAAACAATTTACACAAAAACACTTTAATCGACAGTATACAATTTCCCAAAATATAGTTTTGTAAGAAAATGCAATAATTAACTATAGTCTTTACAAACAAGTTTCTCAGTAAATTCCAGTGTACTTCAGACCCCTGTCCTCTAAAACACATGCTCCCCCAGTTTTCTGGGCAGTGTTTGACATTCACTAATAACAAAAAGACCCACATCCAACAATAATTTCCTCCTTTCACTCAGTGTTGGGTTTTCAGCAGACCCCAAGGAATCCGCTAGTGACAAAGACAAAAGCTAGGCTATGCTTCACTCTTGCCCTCTGCCTCCCCATCTGTTCCCTTAGGCCTTTAGTCCTGCGCATGGAAGTCATGTATATAAAAGTTCATTCGAAACTGTTTCTTGGTAGAACTGTTCATTTGCATCTTAGACCTGAACCAACTATGAGGAAATATGAGATTCCACTTTTGTTTTCGTACCCTCCCTAGCCTTACTCGGGAAAGGTTTGGGAAGAGGATTGTGTCCTCTGTGTCATTCCAGTGCCTCTGAGTAGCAGTCCTTAATTCACTGATTCCTTCTGAGGCACCTAAGCACTGGCAGACCTAGGTATATAATAATAATACTGGTTTTGTCATGAACCATGTGGTTTGGGCCAAATCATTTTGTTTTCTGGGTTTCAGATTTTTCTTTTTTTGATAGGAAAAGATTGGACTAGCTGTATTAATCCCTCTCCCGATAACCAGTGTCACCTTCCAACCTGTGTGTACCCACTGCAGCATTTACTCTGATGGGGCTGCTATGCTGGGGAGGAGGTAAGGGCTATATTTTGAAACAAAAAGCCCAATCTGCAAGACAAAACTTTCTCTTAAGCTTGTCTTGTTGTATGTCATTTTTCATTTAAAAAAAAAAAAAATCGAACTTGTCATTTCTACTAAGATATTTACATTCCTGTTCAGAGAAAAAAGCTTAGCCATCTCTCTTACCTAACACATCTTTTGTTCACTCAAAGCAGTGCAGGTGGATTAACATATGGCCCTTGTATTTACATCATCAAAAAATATGTATATACGTATCAGTTTGAACTTGTTCTTCCAAGTTTCTCCAGTATATTGTCAAAAAAGATAAAGCTTAAGAGGTGGTTTAAATAAACTTTTTGCTAGCTTTCCTTATCAAGAGGGAGAGAAATCTGGTGTCTAAACTAGATTAAACCCGTATTCTGCCTTAGGATGCAGAGGATATTCTGTACCTCCTTCACAGGCACTGCTGCTCCTCTCCCCACCCACGAGGCGGCAAGTTCTGCACTTGGTTTTGCCCACTTGTCAGATTCACAGTCCTGCCCTCTGTGCAGCTTGGGGAAACCATAATTGGCTGCTAAAATAGTTCATAACCTCTCTTTGGTACAACTTGTTTAAAGTGGTGCTGAGCTCCTGGGGTTCCTCTTATCTTTTCTTGGCCCCAGATAATTTGAATTATCAGACAGCATTTAGAACCCCGTAAAGATGGGGGAAGATGATGACCTTTACAGAGGCATGGCCCTGTGGCCTGTTGACATAGGTGTCCTAGTGGCAAAAGCAAGCAAGGTATTGATTCTTTCTGAAGGTGTCCTGAAAGGCTAGAGCAGCACAGTTCGGATCCGTAAAAAGAAGCCTCTGAATTGGCCCAAGGCTTATCCAGTTCTCCTTGGACAGAGCCAGTCACTCTTCCCGCCTGGGCATATCCAGCTCTCTAGTCCTGGGAGTCACCACCACCCTGTAAGAGACTTGGGGTTCAGCCTTTGATCAATTTGCAGAGACATATTTGCCATCTTTGTCAAAAGCCCTAGGTGGTGAAATGCGACTCAGAATCAGCAAAAGAGAACTAATCCAGCCTGGCCTCTCCCACGACAGAAGCCCACAAGGTGGGACAGGGCACTCAGTGTTGGGCAGGGAGGAGCAGACCTCCCCTGTGCAGCCAGGTTTCTTCACTTCCCCCAGACCAGCACTGTCCTCCATCCCGCCCAACCTCCAAATCCTAGAGAATCGGGCAGATGCTGCCGGACCCTTGCTGGCCTCGCATCTGTTTGACTCTGGGGACATTATCTGGGCCCTGCTTGAAGGCTTAAAGCCTTGGCTTTCCTTCCCCAGGACATCAAGTGGCCATGGCTATAGAGAGGAATTGGATGTGCTCGCCAGACCACCTGTTTTTCAAACAAGCTGTCCCAAAGCAGATAGCCTATTTTATCAGAAATGTTACAGCCTGCGCCTGCCTCTAGGACTCTGGAGTTGGGGCTTTTTACGCTGAAAAGATAATTACCCTTGAAGTAATTCTGCCCATCTTCCTAGTTGGATTCCAGGGAATTCATGCCCAAGCACAGTGGAGACCATGGCCAAAGTTCAGATTTCCACACATGATTCCCTTTTTCGGAAAATCCAATTAAAGCTTACCACACCAGTCCTCAGGAGCCTTCTATATATGGCAGCTAACTGCAGCCTGTATGAACCCTCTACTGGGGAACAGACATGGCTTTGTGTTTCCCTGAGAAGCCAGCAGAGCTGCAGAACTGCAGCAGCCCCAGTCGGACTGGAGGAGAGGAAACAGCAAGGCCTAGCTGGGCCTAGCTCAATGCCATGACAGTAACAAGTTACTGGAAATTGTCCCCAGGCTGCCCCTTATGCACTTAAAATGTACTGCACATTCTGGGCCTCTCTTTGCCCATGGCACAGGCACAGGACAGTAAGAACAGTGAGATTTAGGCAACTGAAAGTCTCAGACAATTTGAGCTTTGGCCTTTGGCAGTGGAGGGCTAGATTAAAAAACAAACGAAACTACACAACTCATCAGCAACTTGACAAGCCCCTGAGTGTCCCTGTGATAGAGTCAAGCCTGTGCTTCCTGGACGTCTCAGTGGATTGTCTGTGAAGACACCTCTGACCGGGGCCACAGAGAAGGTCCCCCACAGCTACTTCCCGTCAGTGTGAGCCGTGAACAAGGTCACTTGCTCTCACTAGCTGCCGCAGCGTTTAGTCCCAGTGGTAACAGAAAGCCAAAGGAGATCTTGGGATGCTCCTGCAAGGAGTGCCTGGGGTGATGGGCCAGTGTGGGTGCGCCCCCAAGTCAGTTGCTGGCAGGATGCCAGCCTGGGATGGAGAGCTTCCCCCTCCTTCCACTGAGGCCTGGCTCACCACGGGAATCTCCTGCTGGTCAAGGCCCAATCTCACTAAGCAGATGAGAGGAGTTCAAGGTCACCACCTGTGCTAGTCCCCAGGGCCCTAGGATGGAATGGGAATAAAAATTGAGTGAGGGGATGGGAGGAGAGGAATAAGGGGCAGGTGAGGCCAGGTGGGAGATGGACAGAACCTGGGGCTTGTGCTTTCAAGTAATGAGGACCCCCAGTGCAGGAACCCTGCCCTGCTCCCTTTCAGCCTTTTCACCCGCTGGAGTTCACGCCAGTCTGGGGCAGCACTGGAGAGGGCACAAGTGAACACAGCCATGTGGCATGGTGCAAATGCAATCTTTGTTTTCATCCTGTCACCAAGTGGCTCTGTGACCTTGGACAGGTCCTGTCCCCTCTTCAGGTCTCAGTAATCTCACCTGTGAAATGAAGGGATTGTACAAGATGTCTCTACTGTCTCTCATGGGGGCCCTTTCCTGGTTTCCCTTCTCATCTCCCAGCAGCACGGAGCTCAGGCACTAGTGGGTTATTTTACAAGAAGAATCTAGACAGAATGTGACTTGTTCAGCTTGAAAATGGAAAAGTTAAGGCCCCGGAGGATGGGGAGGAGGCAACCTTCAGAGTCCACTCTCCTCACCCATCTGTCCTTTCCCCTGTCCAAATGGCACTTCGGGTGGTCAGTCCGGAGCTCGGTGCTGCTGGAGGCCGCCAGCAGGCCTGTTAGAGGTGTGTGTCCTCCTCCTCCTCTAGGTCATCCTTGGTCAGGTTGTCCAGAGGGACGATCCAGCTGTCCCCCAGCTCCCCATTAAGATTGACCACCTTCTTCTCTTGCATCTCAGAAGAGGTCTCCATCACTTCCAGTGTTGGGTTGTCATGGTAACCGTTCTCCACAGTCTGCAGCTCCTCGGTTAGTCGCTGCTGGAGTAGGAAACACGACCCAGGGAGAAAGGGTCATCGTGGGGGCTGTGAGCCTTGATGCACGCCTAGACACATGGGTCACACATGGGGGCTGGCTGCTGGCCTACCTCAGACTAATGTGAGACAAAAACTTGCCCTGAATTCTATAATTCCCCATCACCTCACCTTTGCCCTGGTGGCAGATCTGTGAAGTCAGTGAAGATGGACTGTGTTGCCCAGAGTCCCCTACGCTCCTTCCTCTATTCCTTCCCCCCAACCCCTCCAGCACCTGCCTCACAGTCATAATCAGGAGGGAAGGACCATATGGAAGTGACCTCCCTCAGGCAGGACACTGGGGTCCTCGCTAACCCTGGGCAAGATGGGGAGGTCAGTCCCCAGAGTCCCCCTGCTGCAGACAGCAGCCATCTGGCAACAGCGTTCTCTGTCTCAGATACAACCTCGGTGCACGTTAGAATCACCCGGGGAGCTTTTCTAACACAGTACGGAGAAGTCCAGAGATTCTGTCTGAGCTGGTGGTGAGGAAGCTAGGCCTGGAAACTTTTTAACACTCCCCACAGTGTGAGGCAAGACTGAGAACCACGAGTCTGGGTAGAACCACAAAGATGGGAATTGTAGTGAGGGAGGTAACCGAACTTGGATTACACAGGCACACCTGGATCCACTTACACACATCCTCGGCTCAGCTCTGCGAGGTGGATGTTACCCCTACCCTGCAGATAAGAGAGACTCCTGAAGCTATGAGGTTATCTGACTTACTCAGGGTCACACAGATAAGGGGACAGAGCTAGGACTTTAACCAATCTTGCAGATTCCAAAGCCCATGCCCCCCCCCAATGCTCCCTCTTTACTGTCCCTCATGAGGGAGGGTCTCTGCCTGTTAGGAGGGCTCGAGGCCCACGCACTTTGCTCCCATGTAACTCAGGAATAATGAGGGGAGACGTCACCTGGTGACCCGGACTGCTGCCCTGGCTAGGGAGGGCAGTGCTCACCTGGTCCTTCCTCTGGGAGAGGCGCTGGTGGCAGCAGCCATAGAGGGCCGCAACCAGGAGCAGGAAGGATGCCATGCAGACAATGGTGATGATGAGGGGCATGCTGAAGCGGTCCTCAGTCTCTTCTGGTGGTCCCTGGTCCCCCAGCTGCATGTGACTGACTCCCACCTGGGTAGGAAGGAGAAAGTTATGTGCTGAAAATAGGCTCTAGGGCTCCCTCTCACTGAACCCCCCCTTTCACTGTGAGCGCCTCTGCTTGGGTCTGCTGGCCCTTTTCCACCACCCCCTCTTATCCTCCTCCCTTCCAGAAACTTGCACCCTAGAGGGCTCCTTTGCATGAGAGAGAAGCTGTGAACTTCCCAGGACAGCCTCCTGACCAATCTGTCCCAATGCTTGGGAGGAGTCCCCTTACCGCTTTTAGGTCATCCCATTTGTCCTTCAGCTGCTCGTATATGTCTTTGGGAAGGAGCTTTGCTGTGGGAGAGCAGGGAGAGATGCTGTCTCACCGGCCTAGCTCAAAGCCAAGCGATAGGGGTGGGTCACACAGGGCGGGGCTCAGGGAGGGCGTGGTTTAACACTCCCCCCATTCCCCAGAACCATTGCCCCTGCCCATCCCCACCCGCATAGGCCTCAGCCCCTCTTCCTCAACTCACTCTTGATCACGATTTCTTTGACTACCACTGCCTGGCTTTCTGGAACAGGTGCCAGCACCACATTGCAGTCATCGTGAGCCGGGTTGAAGGTGGCCTTGGCTGCTCGGCACAGGACGGTGACCACGTTATCATCTGAAGAGCTGCTTGCCTGCTGTGGGGAGAATACAGACCACTCCTCAGAGAGCATGATGGGCTGCTGAGACTTGTGGGGCTGACACTGAGCTAAGGGCAGGAGGAGGCCACTGCCCTGCTGGCAGCAGTCCCCTCCCCAGCCTCAACTGTGCCATGCCAGGCCTAGCAAGAGTCATGTGCTAGTCTCCTGGGCCAACTCCACTGTCTCTGCCCCATCCAGATTGCCGTTCCCCGACCCTGTGTTCCAGATCTCTGTACATGACACCCTTCACTCCAGTGCCCATTTATGCCCCCAGGTTGTTGAGGGCTGCTGCCCATTTCTATCTCTCCCTGGAAGGTGCTGGAGGAAGCACAGCACAGCAACCCCACCCACTGCTGGGACAACCCTAATTCTCCCATGTTGCCTTTTTCCAGCTTTTCATGTCTAGCTCAGAGACATGAGAAGGCCACAGTGCTCAGCACAAGGTTGCCTGTCTCAAAGCTGAAACACCTGTGCCCTTCCCTAGGTGAAGACTGGCTCTGAAGCATGAACATGCTCACAGGGCAGGAGCACCTTGGAGGAGGGGCCATTGGGGAGCTTAGAAGGGACTTCACATAGCTCTAAGAAGAACACAGCTGCATGGCCTTAGGGCCAGGATGAGGAGTAAAGTGTGGGTCGGTTCTATCCAAGCCTGTGTGCCATCAAAGGGCATCCCAGCTGATGTTTCACTGATCTAATTCCCAAATATTGGACTCCTTCTTTGGAAGGAGGAAAAGAACTCCAGGAATGGCTTACCTTAAGACCCCCACAAACCACCCCTTGGGTTTCCATCTGGAATTTCCTTAAGCTAATTCCCTACTCTGGCACTAGGAAGGGATCCACAGCTTTCCATCTTCCTCTTCTAGCAAAGGTAAAAAAGTGCTTCTCACAATCACATAGCCTGCCACACTTTATCCAGGGAGAGGCCTGAGGATAGGCGAGGCAGGCATCCAACCAGTGCAGGGCTAACCTCAGTGGGCTTCCTGCCTTGTCCCTTGAGCCCAACCCAGGAGCACACTGCTCCCTTTTGAAACTCAAGTTTAAATGCATGCATTTGTGAAATTCACTAGGAAAATGCCAGCAAAATGGACACCCAAAAGGAAACATCTATAGAAAATGCAGGAGGCATCGAAGTGGGGTAAGCCTGAGCTCTCAAACCGTGTTCCATCCATTCTGTTCTAGCGCCTAGGGTGGCTGCAAAACCCAGCACTGATCAGGAGAGGGCAGCAGCGAGCCAGCCATTCCCGGCTGCAGTTTACTGAGCCCTGACCATGGCCCTTGACCCCAGAGTGACTGGCAGTGTGACATTGCTCACATGCTGCTCCCTCTCACAGACAAGCACACATACATGCTGACACCCCCCCCACCCCTAAGAACAGCTGCTGGCAGTGGCTCCCGACATACCTGGGCCCTATTCTCTCCCTCCCACCTGTCCCAGAAACTCCTCAGATCAGAGAGAGGGTCTCAGACAGGGCTTCAGGATATGTGAAGCCACACAGTAGAGCAGGGAGGACCTGGCAGGCCACACCTCTCATTTTCAAATGATACTCTGAAGCCCATAGACAGCAACTTGCCAAAGTCACCCCAGAGCTAAGGGGCAAACAGAAGCATGGCAGGTCTCCTGCCCTAGACCACTGGGAATAGTTCACACAGCAAAGCCGAGGGCGCCTGGGTGCTTTGTTGGCCCTGAGGGAATCCTGCCCACAGAGAGGTCTGCGCCTAGAAAAGACTTTGCCTCAGCCTGCCCTCTGTGAGACTGGGGGGCTCCGAGGACAGAACACAGGGCTCACACATTCCCCTCTGGCTCCCCTGCTAGCCTGCACCCTGAGGAGCTGTGTGGAGGTGCAGGTGGGGCTCCGACTGGCGAGATACTCACGCAGAGGCTGGCTCTTGTGAAGTTCAGGATAAGCAGGTCCTCATTCGGTTTTTCAGGAGAACCGCAGCTTATCTGAAAGAAGCCACTGAGATTAAGGTTCAGGTTAAAAGCCAGGGAATCTTTGACCATCCCCTCCCCCTGGGTGAGTGACCCAGAAACAAAGTTCATGGCAAGCTGGGCCAGTTCCAAAGCCGTGTCCTGGGTGCCCAGCCTTTTAATCTAGCATGGGGCAAAGCCAGGGAGACAGAGGGGCCAGTGGAAACCTCTGCTCACTGTCCTGACTGGGGGCTCTTGGTTGGAGGAAAGAACAGAAAGGCTTTTCTCGGAGGCTCTTCTACTGAGCTGGGCCTCTCTGGTTGTCCCACCCTAGCTGAAATTACCTTGTTCTTCCCAAAAGCCGAGGTGGGAGAAGTTGTGCTGGGGCTTTCGGGAGCAGTGGAAGCCAACTTGGGGCTGGTTCTCGTGGGTGTCCTAACAGGAGTGCTGGCCATAGTTCCCGGTGCCACACTTGTGTGCTGTTGTGACACTGCCTCAGAAGAAGAGTTCACAGGGAAGACTGGCTTCTGGCTGGAATTCTGTTGTGTTTCTTGTACAGTAGGCACTATTGCTGTCATTGGGAAAACAGATGATGAGAAAAGAGAGAAAAGGATGGTCTCTTCTTGCTGTTTTCATGGGGTTTTGGTCTTGTACCTCATGGGGATGGATGAAACAGACCCTGGAACACTTTACAGGGTGGGTCAGACTAGGTGAGGCGGTGTAAGAACCTGGACCTCGCACGGTCATGTCTTGCTCCCTTACTCATGGGGCCTGTCATCACAGCGTGGGCACTGTGGGCTCCAGAGTCAGTGGAAGTAAGTCACAACAATGACAATGATGCCCGCAGTGACAGCTAACACTCGCTGGGCATTTACTTCCTGTGAGGGACTGAGGGCTTCAAAGGCACTTTCCTGCTTACCCCTCACCACAACCCCATGAGGAAGAAACCATCATTATCCCTATTTTATAAATGAGGAAACTGAGGCTCAGTGGGGCTCAATGGTTTGCCCAGGGTCTTGTGCCATCAAGTGCAGAGCAGGGATGTGAACGCAGGTGTAGCCGACTCATAGCCCTGGCGCTCACTACGGCACGTGGCACACTCCGCTACGGCAGCAACCTTTCTCTCACCTCTGGGGTCAGAGTCTCAGCCTCACGCCCAGAAATCTGGGTCAATAGACCTGAGAAGAGTCATGGTCTTGAGGCTCAAGAGTCACCAGTAGATTTTGAAGTTAATTTAAAGGTTAAGACCTGCACTTAAAAGTAACTATAGAAACTGCGTGAAGTAGAACATGCAGTTAAGTCATATTTATGAAATATCTGTTTCAGTGATGTAGATAAATTACGTGTGTTTTGCATCATGATGTAAAATTAAAATGTGTTTCTTACTGGAGGTTGCCATCAAGCAGGTCAGAACAGCATGGTTCTAGCAGACTTCCACTACAGGCAGTCCCCGAGTTACAAACACAAGACAGACTGTGGCCACACTTATAAACAGGCTGTTACAGGTAATAGGTAAATGTACCTATTCCAACTTACAAGCAAATTCAATGTAAGAGCAAACTACAGAATGTAACTTGTTCATAACCTGGGGACTGCCTGTACCCTTCTACCCTCACTGCCCAGTCTCACCCCTGAATAGACTGTTGGCTTGTTTACAGGCTAAACTGTCTGAACAAAGAGCTCTCATCAGAGTGCACAGCCCTGCCGGTCTCTGCTCTTTTCCGGCATGGGGAACAGGCGAGAATGAGGGTAGAATCTATTCATGATATTTGACCCTGGGCATAAATCTCCATCTTCCAGCTGAGCAACAATACAGAATATCAGCATTGAAAAGTTTGTTCTTGCTTGAAAAAAGCCGAAAGCATCACTTACACATCATGGTAGACCCCCTGTCGGGTGGGAAGGTGCGGTTAAGGCCAATCACAGGGCCTGTACTACTTAAAGTTGTGGCAGGAGGGGGCTGTCCCGTCGTGGGAGAGCTCTGGAAAGGCTCCGAAGTACTGTTAGTCAGTGGGTGAGAGTGTGTTGAGTTTGCTGCCGGAGGAAGAGCAGAAGTGGATTTTATGGTGTTAAGCCCAGGTGTAAGTCGCACGGTTGTAGGACTTTCTCCCTTAGTCGTGGGGCCTGTCATCACAATGTGGTCGCTGTGGGCTCCAGAGTCAGTGGAAGTGTTGACACCCTTCGTGGTTTCAGGCTTAGTTGGAACAGCGGGTGGAGCAAGGGTAGGGCTGCCCAAAACACTAACAACTGTGGGGCCACCAGCAGTTGAAGTGAGGGTTTTCTGGGTTGAGGCTTTATCTGGGGTTGTAGTTGCCACGGGGCTGTTGGACGCTGCAGGGGGGTTGGTGCTGGTGCCCTGGTTGGGAGTGGTTGCTGTCGCTGTGCTAGTGGCTGTTTGCGCTGTGCTCTGCTGGGCTGTCTTTGTAGTCACTGTTGTGCTACCAAGTGTTGTAGTTGTGACTGGCCCCATCTGGCTTGCGGTAGTTGGTTTGGAAGTTGATTTATCATTGGTCTGGGCAGATGGAGCTGTTTGCAAAAAGACAACACAGAATCAAGTTAGGGTATCAGCAGGGAGCTTTTCTCAACGCACTTCCTGGCCTGCCTCAGCATTCAGAGGCCTTACCCCCAAGCTCTGCCATCTGCCAAGCTGAAGACCCAGCTGGGTTACTGATGTGTCCAGACTTTTCTGGGGTTCAAAAAACCTCTAGAAGAGAAGCCTGGAGCGAGGAGGGGAGGTCAAGGGAACTGCTGCTGAAGGGGAAGTCCCGGCAGCGAGCCCACTGCCCACGGAGGGAGGCGGCAGCCATCCTGCAAGCTCCCTCCAGCCCCACCTTTCTCAACACATCACCACAGAACCAGCTGCCGAGAACACTTCTGTCCCAGGGGCACATCCTGCAGAAGAGCCCACAGACAGGCTTCCTGAACTGTCCTGGCCCTGTTCTAAGCATGAGCAAGAGAAACCTGGCCTCTGTTCTCAGGGAAGTTATCGTCTAGAAGGAACTGAAGTTACACAAATTATTATCCTGTTACCATTCTGCGTGCTGAGACTGCTTAGCGCAGTGGCTCCACCTTGACGGGTGCAGGGAAGGAAGTCCTTTTAGTCATTTGCTTAGTCACATGTTTACTGAGGGGGATGCAGTGGTGAACAGGACACCCTGAATCCACACGCTCAGGGAGCTCACGCTCCGGTGGCAGAGACAGAGACTAGACAAGGTGACAGAACAGCAAATATCTGGCATTTTCAACAACTGTAATAGGCACGTTCTGTGACATACGTATCAAATTCTAGTCACCACATGGAGGAAGTGAACAAGGGAGAGACGGAGACACAGAGGGTGGGGCTACTTAAAGAGGGAGGTAAGGACAGGCGCCTCCGAGCCGACCATCACACAAAGACCTGAAGGATGATGACAAGGAAAAATGCTGTGTGTGTGGAGAATGGGAGGAAAAACGTCCCTGGCAGAAGGAACAGACCCTGCAAAGACCCCAACGTAGGGAAAGGAGCTGGGAGAAGACAAGTGAGACTGGAGGGAAGGGGCGTGCCTCAGAAAACACGGGGCCTCACAGGTGCAGTGACAGTGGCTCAGGGTCCAGACCAGACAACTGCCAGAGTAAAAGGACGCTCCCTTAAAAATCATATTCTAGGCTCAGCCCCTCTAGCAGTGGTTAAGGTGCCGGCCATATGTCCCAAGGCTAGTGGGTTTGAACCTAGTGGTGGCCAGCTAAACAATGGCAAATGCAACAAAAAATAGCCAGGCATTGTGGCGGGTGCCTGTAATCCCAGCTACTTGGGAGACTGAGGCAAGAGAATCCCTTAAGCCCAGGAGTTTGAGGTTACTGTGAGCTATGACACCACAGTACTCTACCAAGGGCAACATAGTGAGACTCTGTCTCAAAAAAAAAAAAAAAAAATCATAGTCTAGTTAAAATAAGATAGAAGATCACTCTCCTCAGAGGCCAAAGTAAGGGTTTTGGATTTTATTCTAGGCACAAAAAGAAGCCACTGAGGACATGACAGCAAGGACATTTTATGGGGTAGTTTACAGAGACATGCACTGGTGCTGCTCTGGGCATACAGATGGAGGGACAGCGTGTGGAGGTGGGGACAAGTGAAGAGGCTGTGAGGGTAATCCAGGGGGCAATCCAGGCGATTGGACAACGGTAGGTGGTACCAAGTGTTGACTCTGGATAAGGGGATGGAGATCAGCTGCTGGCTGAGCCGACTGCAGGGAAGGGGAAGATGCAGGATGGGGGCAGTGGTGGGCAGGCTGGAGTAAGGCAGACTGTCCTCTGTACCCAGCCACCCCACAAAACTTAATGGCAGCAGGGGCACCCGTAGCTCAGTAGTTAGGGCACCGGCCACATACTCCAGAGATGATGAGTTCCAACCCAGCCCGGGCCTGCTAAACAACAACAACAACAAAAAAATAGCCAGGCGTGGTGGTGGGAACCGTAGTCCAGCTACTAGGGAGGCTAAGGCAAGAGAATCACTTGAGCCCGAGAGTTTGAGGTTGCTGTGAGCTATGACACCACGGCACTCTACCAAGAGTGACAAAGTGAGACTGTCTCAATTTAAAAAAAAAAGAAAAAGTTGATGGCAGAATGTGCCTATTACAGTTGCTGAAAATGCCAAATATTTGCTTTTCCAGCCTCCCTATAACCAGATGAGTTCAAGCATACAACTCCACTGCCATGAATCAGGCTATATGTCACTCCAGCCAGTGAGGGAGGAGACAGCAGGCTGTGAGGAGCTCTGATGGCAGCAGCGGTGACAGCAAATGCCAGCAGTGGTGCAGGTGGTACCCGCTGAGTATCCTGAGCCGCAGCAGCAGCACCTGCAACTTGGCACAGGTGGGCAGTGCTGGCCTCTTTGGACCAGCTCCCAGCCTGACCTAGGTGATGTTCCAGCAGTCCAGCACTCTGGACGCTAGACAATATCCTGACTGCACATTCACATTTTGCTACTGAGAAGTAAAAATTTGTTATCAGGAATGGTTACAGGTGGCAAGACTTCAGGGATTAGTTTTTGAGCTATATTGGGGCTAAAAGAACAGTCCAAATTCTGCAAGTATTAAGGGACAGGATTGTAGTATCTTGTGACATCTTGCAGGGATCAGTCATCTTGTACCATCTCATCTAAAATGAAGTGCCATCAAGTAGCTCTGATGAAGCTGAGTGACTGCCCTAGAAGAGTAGGAAAGACACAGGACCAGGACATGTGCTAACAATCCAGGTGATGTCAGGGTCGGACGGGGACTTTTCCTTCTTGGTAGTTAATAAATAATGGTGCTTCTTATAATGGACGATATCACAGTGGCTTCTGGCAAAAGAGAATATATGGCTTAGGGAAAACATTAGCATACGTGAGGAATTAAGGAACTTAAGAGATATTAAGTGGGACGGTTACTTCTTACTCTGGGGAATAGCTTAAAACAGAGTTTCTCAACGCTGAAATTATTGACATTTGGGGATGATGTGTTTAGCTAGATAGTCAGGACCTCTGGCTTTCCTATGTGACAAAGGATGTGCGTACGGACTTGGTGCTGCTCCACCTAGATCCTGGCCCAGCAA